ACAAGTAACATGAAATCTCAAGGACACCAAAACATCAACTGGCACTTTGATCCTCCAGCTCCACACATGGGTGGACTCTGAGAAGCAGGAGTGAAAAGTTTAAAGAGCCACTCAAAAAAGGTGTCCCAGATACAAAAATTCTCTTTCGAAGAATTATCTACCCTTCTAACCTGAATCGAAAGCTGCTTGAATTCTCGCCCTTTAAGCCTACTAAATGGAGACCCCAGGAATATAGAACCTTTAACTCCAGGCCATTTCTTAATAGGTACTCATTTACTAACCCCAGCAGAACCCAACTTAGAAGATGCACAGCTAAGCATCGCACATAGATGGCAAAAGTTAAAGATACTCCATCAACACTTCTGCAAACGATGGAAAGAAGAATATCTTAAAGAAATCCACAAAGAAGTATAAGTGGAAATACTCTCAACGCAATATAAAGGACAATGATATGGTAGTTATACGCCAAGAAACGCTACCCCCAAATGAATGGAAACGTGGTCGCATCGAAAACCTATATCGGTGCAGACAATAAAATCAGAATAGTTGACATACGTGCCTGGAATAATTATCCGCTCAATAACCAAAATAGTCACCTTACCAAATAACTAATCTCCTTTATTTATAGTGACATGACTCATCAAAATAGCGTCAAATCAATCTGCAGCCGACAGAGCAGCCCAGCCTTCACCGTGCGATCACTCAGCGTGACCCGAAGCACCATCTCACTCTCTGACGATGGGACCCTGGCTAGACGTTTACATCGTTTTAAAGCTACCCTCTCCCCCATACGAGAAGAAAGAGGAGGTACCCGCCGCACGGCCCGGCGTACTATATATGTTCACCAAAACGCACACAAACACGTTGCCTGTGGATTGTGTAAAAAAGATCACCGGTTGGTGACATGTTTAAAATAAACAAAAATTAACATTCACGAAAATTTTGACGCAGTAACTAAGTATAAGTCGACTTCTCTGATGAAAGCATAAGATCCTCACCGCCCATGTACTTGTTATATTCGTGTATAACATTTGGACATAGGATTTTTGACGTACTTTGTTCTTTTATTGAACCTCTCAACAACTGGAGTGTTCGGGCGTTGCTCCTACATTGTATTTGTATAGTTTTATGTCAGCTAATGTTGAAGCCATTTTGACCACTTTTAAGTCTTTCTAAGAGACAGTGGAAATATCAATCCCGTAAAACGAAGCTGCATACTCGTCTGCATCACCCCGATTTTACATTTTCCCTAGCGGTTTACAGCCAGGAATTCTGTTTCGTCGAACTGTCCCCAATTAGCGCCCTTAACCTTATTGAAATGTTTGTTAGGTGCTTCAATCAATGGCCGTATTTTGAACAGACGATCAACGATATTTGCTGACAAGGATAATTGAGTTGTAGTTGGCTCGTCGTCCTGCTGCCCAGTATTACGACAGCGAGGCATTTCGTTATTGTTGTTGATGTGCAAAAATTGTCGAATTTTCTCATGACGGTTTCGTGTCATAGCTGCAATGATACGATATTTACCATAATTACCCTAATACATACGCACGTTAGGATATTTGATTACTGACATGAGATAGGTAATGCCCATAAATCGTTTAAATTCATCATGTGTGGTGTTAAGTGGGAGCAATATATCTTGCTGTATAGAATAAAAATTGCTCAGTTCTACGATATTTGAAACAATTTCGTCTGACACAAAGTATGAAAAGAACTGATAGGGCATGTGCAACGATATTATTTCGGGCGTAAGGTGGTCGCTACCTCGAAACTAAATAAAATTTTCTTTGAATTGCATGTACCAGCGTTTCCCAAGTATATGTAAAATATTGTCATCGTGTTCATGTTGTGAACAAATATTTCACATTCCGGGTCTTCTTTAATAAAATCTTCGCTACCTGATCCCAAACTACGTCGAATCGTCAGAAAAATCAATTACACGGTCACTATTCGACCAATCAAAATCATTAACGAGATCTTCCTGACTAATGAAAATATGACTCCTCTGTGACATTCGATATTGATAAAGACAAATTATGCATTTTACACTTTTACTAATCACTTTATTATAATTCTGCATATTGAAGTAACAAAATCTACTTCTCTGATGAGCACCTGATGGTTACTCAAGGGACCATTTAAGTTTTATTTCATAAAATAAATAAAATTGTATAAGTATACCCTCAACAGGGTATATTAAGTTTGCCACGAAGTTTGTAACACCCAGAAGGAAACGTCGGAGATCCTATAAAATATATATAATATATGATGAGCAATATAGAATATAGCTGCCATACAAACCGAACAATCGGAATCAAGTGCTTGTATGGGAAATTTTTTTATTTGATGTAATATCTTCACGAAATTTTACATGAATTATTTCCTAAGGCAACAATGTAATCTCCGGAGAAATTGTTTAAATCGTATTACTATACCATATAGCTGCCATATTAACTGAACTATCGGAATAAAGTGCTTGCATGGAAAGCTTTTTTATTTGACGAGATATCTTCAGAAAATTAGGTACGGATTATTGTCTAAGGCAACAATGTAATATCCGAAGAAATTGTTCAGATCAGATTACTATAGCATATAGCTGTCATACAAACTTAACGATCGGAATCAAGTGCTTTTATGGAAAACTCTTTCATTTGACGAGGTATCTTCACGAAATTTGGCATGGATTTTTATTTAAGACAATAATGCAAACTGAACGATCGGAATCAAGTTCTTGTAAGAAACCTTTGTATTTGTGAAGGGCTTATAGCTTCGATGCAACCGAAGTTACAGTTTTTTCTTGTTTTTATCAACACTTACATCAAATTAAATTGTAATAACGATGAAGAGTGCAAATTTTCAGCACTAAATAATTACTATTACTTTCGCACTAGTCACTTGAAAATATTTGGAAAGAAAATAACGTATGCAAAATTTCAGATCGATATCTCTAAAATTGAAAGACTAGTTCGCGTATATACAGACGGACATGGTTAAATCGACTCAGCTCCTTCTGAGTGTTACAAAGTTCATGGCAAACTTAATATACACTGTTAAGGTATAAAAATACTTATTTGCATCAATACTGTCGCTTAGATAATGCAAACATCTCTGGACATTTCAACAACGGAAATGAACATTCACTTATTTATTACATACCTTCTGCTTTATACTTACCCTCTGCTACGTACTTTTTTTTGCTTAGGTTGGCAGGACTGTTATATGTTTACATGTCAAATTTGAGCGCGATCTGTCACATAGTTTTTTTTTACTTACACTATAAACAAGTCAACCTCGAGTGTGTTTTTCGAATTTTACTATGGAAATTAACGTTGAGCAAAAAGTGTTTGTTTGAAATTTTGTTATTCCAATGGAATAAGTGCGACGGACGCAATGAAAATGTTGCAGAAGGCATATGGGGAGTCTTGCCTATCACGTGCACGTATTTTTGATTGGTATAAGTCGTTCAAGGACGGCCGTACATCGCTGGAGAACTTGCCCCATGATCGTCGTCCAGCAACGTCAATAAACGAAGAAAACGTCGAAAAAGTAAAGAAAATTGTGTTGGAAAAACGTCGTGTGACTGAAAGAGAGATAGCTAGTGAGCTCAACATATCAAATGGATCCGCTCATAGCATTATTCACGATGTTTTGGGCATGAGACGTGTGTCTGCTCGACTTGTTCCAAAATCCAGCTCATACGTCTCGTCTTGTACGCGATTATTTGACCAAAAACAACGTAAATATTGTTCCGCAAGCACCGTTTTCACCCGACATATTATATATACATCCGTAACTATTTCAATATTTTTCAAATTTTACATTTAATAGAATCAAACGTTTATTTTGTATCAGTGAGTGAAACGAGACAATATATTATATATCATATATCATTTATTATATCATTATATATCAGTTATTACAGATGTTATTTCTGCTGTCTGATTATATCGATCAAATTGGGCCGAGAAAATTAATACAAACGAGCTTTACGTAAAAATATTTCTTAGATGTATATATACTTAGGTCGAAATTCGAAAAATCGTATACTACAATAACGTGAAAGACCATCCTATCTATCCCATTTAGCACGAATTTTTCCAGACGTCCTTATTTTGGCGAATGTTGGTTCCAAGTTAGCCAGTGGTAGCAGGTTTATTAACATTGGTGTCTTTACAAAAAAAATAAGTCTAACTAAGCCAAATCAAGCCCAATTTATATATTATATATTTTTTATATAATTCGGTCACAAAAAGTTCGTCCCAATTAATTGATGGTTGGCGAAGACGATTGATATTGACGTGGGTACTAAGAACTCGTCAATGAAGTTACATATATATAAATGATCAGTATGAAGAGACGAGTTGAAATGCGGGTGACTGTCCGTCCATCCGTGCAAGCTGTAACTTGAGTAAAAATTGAGATATCTTTATGAAACTTGGTACACATGTTTCTTGGTACCGTAAGACGGTTGGTATTGCAGATGGGCGTAATCAGACCACTGCCACGCCCACAAAACGCCATTAATCAAAAACAAATAAATTGCAATAACTAAGCTCCGCAATAAGATACAAGACTGTTATTTGGTACACAGGATCACATTAAGGTGGGGCATCTGTAGTTAAATTTTTTTTTTAAAGTGGACGTGGTCTCGCCCCTAATAGGTTTAATGTGCATATCTCCTGAACTGCTAAAGCTATAATAACAAAATTCACATAAACCAAGCACTCAACAAGTCAGAGACATTAAATTTTATCTCTAGGATGGTATGAGATGACTTTATAGGAACCGCGTTCAAAATTAGTCAGTGCAGTTGTGCACTATCAATTTTATGAAGAAATTTCATGGATTCACATGTTTACAATAAAGCTGAATGTATGAGTTATCAGAAAAATTCCCTTATAAAATTTTCACAACTGAAATTTTATGAAAATTTTGTTCAGAAAAGATGTACATATAATATCTACATTAAAACAAATACGGTAGCAATAATAACTTACGAAATACGAAAGGTATGCCGCCACGTATAGCTTTTTTCCCATCAAATGAGGCAAGTTTGCTGGAATAATATAAAAAATATGAACACAAATTTAAAATGTACTAAAAATTGTAATTTTCTGGAGTATGCCTACAATATATACATATTAATAAATAAATAATCAATAATATGTAATAATGATGAAACGTTATTTATGAGGCGATTAATTTAAACTATTGCTTTCAACGTGTCTTTAATACAGCTATGTCCACGGCCTGAGCTCACGAGCGACCATAGCTTTTCTTAAAATTTCAACCGGGGAATTCACACCGTAAAATAATAACATTATTTTGATTTCAGCATAAAGAAATCTGTAGAAGTACAGAAGAATGTAAATAAACGAGAAAGTGCAAATTAAATTTTGTATGATGCTCGATTGGACTGCTAACGGAGCTGAAAAACTCCGAGCAGGGAATTCAACATTTTCTGTGGTATTTAACAGAAATGAGAATTTATAACAACGTTCTCTGGCAGAAAATGTATTTACTAACATAAAGAGAAAAATTAAATACTTTGAACAAAAAATACAAATGCCACTTTACATATGCGTGATTATTTTTTGTCTAATAAACGATTTTTATCATGAAAAATTGCAACATGATAAAATGTGGAAAATTATGCAACAAAATATATTCTACTTTGTAATAATTTTCTAATTTCAATTGTTACAAAATTAATAATTTACATACATACATTTGTAGATAATATGTATGTACATCAATATGGAGTCGAACAAGCATTGATTTGCAGTCGGCAATTTCGATGTCATTTATGTGTATGTATGTATGTATGTATGCACACATGGAAGAATAGAATTTTTGATGTTATCACTTACATGTGCGCGCACTGGTCTCAATGTGTGTATGTACAAATATGCGTATGACATTGCAAAATACATAATGCATATACAAATATACGTACATATATGCTTAAAAATGTAAGTACAAAAAGGAACCAACCAAAACAAATTGTTGGAAAAAATAACTTTATATACTTTTTATAAAAATCCATTTATATGTAGTTTTATGAAAATAAAAGTGATTAAACCAAACAAAACATACGGACGAATAGAAAGTCCATTAGAAAAAGTCTGCGTACAAGGTACATAAGTCGAATAAAGTTATTCTTCCTACGAATGTAATATACAAACTTAGAGACTTCTGTCGAAGAAATGAGAGCCCATTCCTCGTGCAGCACATCCTTAAGCATATCCTTTGATATTTAGCATATTTAGGATTAAAATCTGGTGGTGTTTGAAGTTGCTTGGGAACGTTGTAAAGTAAACAAAGCTTAACTATGTCTGCTGTATGCTTCGGAAAATTCTGCCGCTCTTTGCTTCAAATTTCTTTTTAAGATATTAAGGTATGCATATTTAACCCTGGTGGACTTTATAAATTTCATTTGGCCCACACAGTTACCATCTATGCACCCCCCTATCATTGCTTCTTCACCACCGTTCTCCACAGTATGCATCAAGATTTGCTTATCAAGTGCCGTGCCCGTTTTTCGCCATAAAATCTTACGCCCCTTGATCCGAAAGACGCAAAACATGCTCTCATCGGAAAAAATAACTTTCTTCCAAAACTCTCGGGACTTATGAACTAACTTATTGACTAACGATATGAATGAGTTCTTTTGTGAGACTTGACCATAAAAACCGTTTTTTTTTTTTTAATTTTGCAAATGTTGTCAGTGCAGTGAAATTTCTTAAAATTTTTCTTAATATTTTGGTCGATTTTGGATGCAGGAAATTGAAGGTTTTGCTTTACACGCTCTAGTATTTCTGGCCGCCCTGAACGTGCCGAGATACAAAAACGCCGGTATGTTTGTATTTTTTTTTATTTACTTTTTGTATGAAAGAATGTCTTCTTCCAACAATTAGACCGATTTCAGCATATGTTTTTACTTTTTCGAAAAGTTTAACCATTATTTCCCTTTCAGAGAAACTTTTTGTTCTTTTAGGCGAGGTTCGATATTCTAAATTTAATAACAAACTGAATAGAATGAAAATCTTATAAAATAACTACTTTTATAAAAAAAGTAAAATTATAACTTTCCGACACTTTTACATTTGGTTATTGCATTGGGTATTCCCATTTTACTACTTGTACGCAGACTTTTTCTGTGCTGCCAAATTACTATTTTTTGTAAATTTGCCTATAAAACTATGGTATCAAATTTTAATTGCTATGAATGCCATGATAATATGCAATAGACTAGTAATAAAGCACTTAATATGATTATGCTCTAAAATTTAGTACATAAAAGTTATTTTCTAAGAAAAGAAAATAAGATATTAGCGTGTAGCAATCCGCCCCTAATAGATTTAATGTGCATATCTCCTAAACTGCTGCAAAATTCACTGAAAACAAATGTTTTTAGCACTTCTATCCACGGTGTGAAAATAGGTGAAATCGGGTGACAACCCCGCCCACTCCCCATATAACGGTACTAAACACGCCAGAGTCATTAAATTTTAACACAGGGATCATATAAGCTGACTTTATAGGAGCCGCGTTCGAAATTAGACAATGGGCGTGGACCGCCCACATTTAGGTGAAACCCCATATCTTAGGATCTGCATAACCGATTTCAACCAAATTCGGAACATAAAATTTTTCTTATATTTCTATGCTATAGTGCGAAAATGAGCGAAATCGGATTACAACCACGCCTATTTCCCATATAACATCATTTTAAATTACATTTTGTCACTTTCTACTATGTAAATCAAACAACAATGATTGTATCGGGGTAAAACTTTGCGTGAATAATTCGTTTAAACTGTGCCACCTGTGACCAAAAAATGTCTAAATCGAACCAAAACTAATCAAGTCCCTAGGTACTGGATTTGTTGACCCCACTGCCTATAGTTGCCTTTTTACCGAAAATATTGGTTAATCTGTAAGACATTTAATTGAAATTCATAAAATAAAATAAATAAATAAAACTGTCGATTATAGTATGTTTGTGTCAAAAAATGGGTTCAATCGAATCAATACTTCCTATAGGCCTCATATACCTAATATAAAGATTTTTGAACTTCCGGATGACTTTATACCGCTCATATCGGCCAATATGTGAGTTATCTCAATGAAAATGAGAGAGCGTGGTTTACTCATAACAAGGTATTTTTGTGCCTAAAATGGATGAAATCGAGTGAAAATTTTACCTGGCCCCCATGTAACTAATATCAGGATTTTCGAACATTCGTCTGACTTAACTCCATATGATTGGTGATGGTATGTGAGTTACCTTAATGAAACAGTCTGTGGCATGTTAGTAGTATGTATTTAGTATTGACAAAAATTCATAAAATCGGGTTTATGCTACCCTCTACTTCCATATAATACTTCTCGTGTGTCGGTCAGTGAGTATTAAAATTTTTTTTATAAATATACAAAATTGCTTCAAAATATGTTCTCTATGCTCGAGTATAGCTGAGCAATGTAAAAATTAATATCTTTCTCTATCCCCAATATATATATGATTTCCGTCTTTCCTCTTGACTTTAAACCGTTCCGGTTGATCAATATGTGATATTTTAATGTAATTAAGTAGATAAGTTTTCATAAAAATTATGTGGTTTGACGCTGAATTAGAATGAAAATAGTATATACTAAGTCTAAACCTCACACCTTCATATAATGAATTCCGATTCTCTGGTTGACGTTTTCCACACAAGCTTATAATACAAAATTTAGCCACTTTGGTCGAGTTAATATCACATTCATACTTATGTATATCTCACTTCAAGATTTTTTTTTTTTATACTCTCGCAACCTGTTGCTACAGAGTATAATAGTTTTGTTCACCTAACGGTTGTTTGTATCACCTAAAATTAATCGAGTTAGATATAGGGTTATATATATATAAATGATCAGGATGAAGAGACGAGTTGAAATCCGGGTGACTGTCTGTCCGTCCGTCCGTCTGTCCGTCCGTCCGTGCAAGCTCTAACTTGAGTAAAAATTGAGATATCTTTATGAAACTTGGTAGACATGTTTCTTGGTACCGTGAGACGGTTGGTATTGCAGATGGGCGTAATCGGACCACTGCCACGCCCACAAAACGCCATTAATCAAAAACAAATAACTTGCCATAACTAAGCTCCGCAATAAGATACAAGACTGTTATTTGGTACACAGGATCACATTAGGGAGGGGCATCTGCAGTTAAAATTTTTGTTTAAAAGTGGGCGTGGTCCCGCCTCTAATAGGTTTAATGTGCATATCTCCTAAACCGCTAATGCTATAATAACAAAATTCACTAGAAGCAAATGTTTTTAGCACTTCTATTGACGGTGTGAAAATAGTTGAAATCGGGTGGCAACTCCGCCCACTCCCCATATAACGGTACTGTTAAAAACTACTAAAACCGCGATAAATCAAGCACTAAACACGCCAGAGACATTAAATTTTATCTCTGAGATGGTATAAATTGGCTTTATAGGAGCCGCGTTCAAAACTAGTCAGTGGGCGTGGCACACCCCACTTTTAGGTGAAAACCCATATCTTGAGATCTGCTCAACCGATTTCAACCAAATTCGGTGCATAACGTTCTTTTCATGTTTCTATGTCATAGTGCGAAATCGGACTACAACCACGCTTACTTCCCATGTAACACCATTTTCAATTCCATCTGATTCTTTCACTTTCCACTATGCAAATCAGGTAACAATGATTATATCGGGGTAAAACTTTGCGTGAATAATGCAATTAAAGTATGCCACCTTGCGGCCAAAAATTGTCTAAATCGAACCAAAACTGTTCAAACCCCTAAGTATTAAATATGTGGACCTATAGTTGACCTTCTACCGAAAATATCAGTCAATCCACAAAGAAATCTCAAACGAGTATACTATTTGACTTTGCGAGAGTATAAAATGTTCGGTTACATCCGAACTTAGCCCTTCCTTACTTGTTTAATATAATTTTCGCTGACGCAAACTAAAATATAGCAATAAAACTGAGACTAAGTTTATGGCCTTTAATATAAGTCATGAAGATACCAAATTTGAT